CAGTTTCAGCAAGCAGGGTTGTGTCATCTGCATAATGCAGATTGTTGATAGATCTTCCACCAATCCTGATGCCACATTTCTTCTCATAGAGCCCAACCTCCCGGATGATCTGTTCTGCATAGAGGTTGGAAAGGTATGGAGATAGGATGCATCCCTGGCGTACGCCCTTCCCACTTTTAAACCATGCAGTGTATCCATGGTTCAAGTACAAGTTTCGCATTAGCATGATCAAGTGTGGTTTTCTGACAAGTCCTGTGCCTGCTTTGTAATTTAACACCTAAGCAGTTTGGAATCATTATAAGTGGATTGCATTTTAAATTTCAGTGTCTACAAGTTCATTGCTGATATTAAATAACCAAAAGCCAGAATGCTGCCGAGCTGGTCCTGACTCAGTGATGTGTTCTCGGGCTTCTGGGTAGAGCTAAACCTCGCCTAGCTAGTATAGCAAAGTACAGTTACTCTTTGTGTGTTTCTCTTGTGTCCCCTATCTTTGTGAATTTATTTGAGGGTTTTGAGTTTTCAAGTATACTCCCTGAGATGTCTTAAGTAGACATTCACATCCTCCTTACCCAGGGATCATTGTACTTCTTCTTTTTTGTTTTATATGTTTTATTTCCTTTTCCTGCCATTTGGGTGTATATAACTTGTCGATTTTGCAGACTATATTTTTAGTGTATATATATATATAATTTCTTTTCTTGTTGTGTACCATAGAATCGGATCTGACTGGCCCAAGAGGAGACTGCTCCCCGCCCTTTTTATATAGCCCACTGTTATCTAGTTGATTCCAACACATGGCGGCCTCTACCCGCTTTCTGAGGCTGTAATCTATACAGGAGAAGCCCACTCATCTTCCTTCCACAGGGCGGCTGGTGGACTGGAACCGGCAGCTGCACAAACATAATGCATGTATGCATATCAGCTTCAACCTGACAGCACGCACCAACACAAACAACATATCTGTCGCCTGTGACTCATAACAACCCATGCACAATACCTCTGAACCCTAACCTATCCTGAACCAGTCTCACTGACTCTGACACACCTACTCCCATTACCTCAGTTACATATCAATCCATCTTGTCCAGGGTCTTCCTCTCCTGCGCTGCCCCTCCAACCTTCCAAGTGTGATGTCCTTCTCCAAGGACTGGTCCCTCCTGGCAATATGACCAAAGAATGTGAGACAGAGCTTCAAAATCCTTGACTCCAAGGAGCAACCTGGTTTCACTCTCTCCAGGACAGACCTGATTGTTCTCTTGGCAGTCCATGGGATATTCAGCACTCTTCTCCAACACCACAACTCAAAGGCACCAATCATTCTTCTGTCATCTTTAGTCATTGCCCAGCTCTCTGAAGCATAAACAACACAGCGCACACACACCACACACACACACAAAGAGAGAAAGTGGTTACTGTAGGAATTCCAGAAGCCCCTGGAGGTGGAGTGATTAAAAATGCATCTGCTAAGCGAGCGGTTTTATTTTGACCTCCCATCTGCTCCACAGGAAAGGCTGCACGGTGGTCCACATGTGCAAGGGTCACAGCCCTGGAATCCCACAGGGCTCCTGTCTTCGGAATGGATTCCATGACAGTAGGTGTTTGTAGGTATTACGTTATACACATGCACAACTTAACTGGTAGACCCACACAGGATGATGTTATAATTTTTGTTTAAATAATCAAATGTTGTTGTTGTTGTTGTTGTTTAATGCCGTCGAGTCGTAGACGACGCATAGCGACCCTATGAATGAACAGCCTGAGCACTGTTCGTACATAGTTTCCAGAGGCAAGCCATTTCGGAAGTGGATGCCGCTCCTGCTTCCAAGCTTGATTTAGTCGGGACGCTCCAGCCAACACTGTCCACCGTGGGTGCCCATTACCATGACTGGCACATCACTGTAACAGGCATCACAGCAACCACGAGTTACCTCTGTACAGCAACGCACAGACCAGTGCTATACCACCTAGAAGAATGTTTGACAGGAAGACAATTTGAACCTTTGGGTTTAAGGCCGCCTCCTGGTTCAAACCCTAGGCCCAGGCTGGCTAGCCTCACTCCAGGGACAGAGCAAACCTGCACGCCAAACACATTCCCGGAAAAGCAGTCCACTCCAAAAGCTTGCCACGATTTCAGCACTCCCACCACCACGCTCCTGCCTTCTGGCAAGGAGAGCTTCCCACGAGCCTGAAATAATCAAATATAACTTAGAAAATAAAAGAGACGCAAAGTCCATTGTATTCTCTTCTTGTTCAGGATATTTGTTATTTCCTGTCCTGTTCCCCGGTTCCTTCCTTTATTGCTCCCTTTCTGCTTAGATGTTTTTTCTTCTGTTAGGATAAGTCTCTTTGCTACAGTCTGCTCGTACCCCTTCATCTGAGATGAGCAGTTTCCCTTTCATTCCCAAGGGACAGCTGCACGGAGTATGCAGTCCTGGTTGACGGTTCTTTACTCCTGTCACTTGGGGAATACAATACCACTTTTCTCTGGTCTCCCTGGTTTCTGTGACAGACACCTATCATTCAGACAGTGTTTTCTGTGGGTAATGTGTCTCCATCTTTTCTGGCTTCTTTCAAGCATTTTTGTCTGCCTTTTGTCTTCAGAGAGGGTAGTTATAGGTCAGGGTTCAGATCTTTTCTTCATAAGGTCGCTATGAGTCATATTCGACTCAACAACATTTATCTTTAGGAATTTCACTCTGGTCACTTTTGTCATGAATTTCTTTGGATTTCTCTTGTCTGGGGCTTGATAGCTCTCAATGTGTAAATCTGTTTCTCTTCGAATTGGGGAATTGTGTCCCCTGCCCCGCCCCTGAGGCTCTGTCCCTCCTCCCCCCTTCCCTCACTTCCTCTCTCTGGCTGAGCATGGGTAACGTGCTCTGGTTTTGCAGTTCACTAATTTTTCCTCTGTCTGTTCTGTTCCACCGTTGAGCCTCTCCCCCCGGCTTTCCCGTTCAGTTACTGGAGGTTTTAGTTCTAAAACCTCCACTTGGTTCTCCTGTGCGTCTCTTTCTTTGCTGAGACTATGCAACTTGTTCAAGTGTGCCTGTAATTGCCCACTGAAGCGTTACTACAGCGTCTGCTTTAACATTCGCCAGATCAGCCCAGCCCTGCTGACACCGCAGAGGCACCGACTGTGGACGGCATTTTCCATCTGGTTCAACATCTTCCTGGTTCTTGGTATAAGGAGTAGATTGTAGTGGGAATCTGGACATCTGTGTATTTTGCTACGTGGCTCTGGATTTTACGTCAATCTTCTGTTTGGACTGGCACTTACTGACACTGCTTTGGCATAAGGAGGGGTGTGCCGTCTAATTACTGCTGGGAACGCGAGAAGGGACATCGGTGCTTCATGTGGCCCTTCTGTCCTCGTGGTCAGGAAGACAGTGGCACATCTCGACCATCGAGGACCCAGCAGCGTCCTGTTGGTGGGCTCACTGTCTGGGTTAAGGCAATGCCGACACTTTACACCAGCTTCCTTTTCCGCAGCCTTCTGATACAAGCTCTGCAATGACTCAGTCCCATGTTAACTGATGAGGAAACCAAGGCCAAGGAGGATGAACACCATCGCCAGTTTACGCAGCTGCTCTGTGGCAGCGCCAGGTCTGACCTGGCCAGGTGTGTGTGCTCACCAGGCTCGTGTGCTCACCACACTTGCAGCCAAGGGAGAGGGGTGAGACTGAAGCAATGAAAAGACCCAGAGAAAAGACCCTTAAGTAGCTCTTAGTCATCCCCAGAGCCTGCGATCTTGTGAGTCCTGGTGTAGAGCCAGCCAAGAGGGCCATTCTGACCAAGTAATGGCATGGACTGTGTCATGGACTGTGCTAGGATGTGCTGCGAAGAGACAGGAAAAGCATCCTGTGCTTTAAAACTAACTAACTCAATCAATCAATCAATCAATCAGTCAATCATTCAATCAGTCCCAGCTCTGAACCTGAGAACAAAAGAACTAGATGGTGCCCAGCTAGCCTGGGCTGAAAGCTCCACGGTAGAAGGTTCTAGACAGAGTGTGAGAGAAAGGTGGAACAAAACTTAAAATCATAAAGGGAAACTAGGTTTGCTGCTCTGAGAGAGACTGGTGGAACCTCCGAGACTAGACCTCTTAGTCACTTTCAAGCCTGGAACTGACTCAACACAATGGCTCAACTCTCAGCCAAACAACAGACAGGCCTATAAGGAGAATAATACCACTGGAGTGGAATGTACTCTCAGGGTCCTAAACCACATGAGATCAAAGGGCATTCTCCTAGGGGAAAAGCTCAGGACACAGAAAAGATAGGGCAAATGGGTGAATGGAAATGGCACACACAGGAAGGAAGTGATACTACACAATGAGGCTGTGACCACCGTCACGAGACAGAGTCCAAGAACTGTCAAATTTGCTCTATATATTTTCACTCAAGTCACAGTAAAATTTTGAGGTGGCTGTTTAAAAAAAAAATCATCACTGTTCTACAAAAAAAGAGCAGGGACACTGGGTCAGGGCCCTTGCTTGCTTCGGATCTTACCCTGGCCTGAAATTCCGTTCTTGTCCACCTCCGAACAGCATGGGGTACAGGGGGGTCTGCTCACCCAGGCCTCGTACATAGAGAGCCCCAATCCTGGGGCCATAGAACTGAAATGAGAAGGGAGCGGTTTATTTGGCAGGAACTTTCCAAGGACAATCTGCCCACAAGCCGTGTTTGGCAGCATGCCGTAGCCATGCTCTGATGGACAGGCCCTGTCCTCCTTCGCGGCCCCCAGAGGTCCACCACCCTTGGGCCTTGGGACATGCTGACGGACAGGGCTGGCACTGGACTTGCCTTCCCAGCTCTGCGGCCAGCAGAACTCCCCCACATGCCACGAGACAGCGTTTGTAGGAGGAGCGAGTCATAACTGCAGTTGCACAGGCTTTTCTGGTATGTGAGTCCACAATTTCCCGACAGTATTACAGGGAAATGACGCGCCTCAGCGCCAGGCCAATCCACGCATGCCTTTGGGAATCGGCTGGGGACTGTGTTTTAAAACAGAATTGCTGTTATTGCTGTGTTCCATCGAGTCAGAACCGATTCATAGCTGTCGCTCTGGCAGGTTTTCACACGCTGTAAATCACATGGGAGAAAACTGCTCACCTTTCTTCCACAGAGCAACTGGTGAATTCAAAATACATGCCTCTGGGTTGGCAGCGCAAGTCCTTACCACCAAGCGACCAGAGCTGCCCAAACCTCATGCTGTTGTTTGTTGTTGTTATGTGCCCTCAAATTGCCTGTGACTCACAGCAACCCTGTGTACATTAACTCTGAACCCTGCCCTATCCGGAGCTAATCTCACTGTCACTGACAGACTTAATCCCATTTCTCTAGTCACTAAGTCAATCTTTCTCATCCAGGGTCTTCCTCTCCTGTGTTGTCCCTTCATCTTCCAAGCACGATGTCCTTCTTCAAGGACTGGTCCCTCCTGGCCAAGTGCCCAAAGTATGTGAGACAGAGCCTCAGAGCCCTTGCCTCCAGGGAGCAGCCCAGGTTCACTCTCTCCAGGACAGACCTGTTTGTTCTCCTGGCTGCCCACGGTGTAGTCAATACTCCTCCAGCACGACAACTCCAAGGCATCAACCCTTCTATCAACCCTAGATAGTGTCCAGCTCTTCGATGCATAGTAAGTAATTGCAAACACCATAGCTTGCATCCGGCGCACCTTAATCTCCAAACGGACATCGTTGCTCTTCAATACTCTAGAGAGGTCCCTGACAGCAGACTTTCCCAGTGCAATTCTACTTTTGATTTCCTGACTGCTGGTGCCAAGAGTGTTGACTGTAGAACCAAGCAAACGGAAGTTATCAACAATCTCCATCTCTTCTCCTTTCACTACGAAGCAGCCAATTGGCCCAGTGGTGAGAATCTTTGTTTTCTTGATGATGAGCTTCAGTCCAAAACTTCATGCCAAACTAAAACATCCACACTGTTGACTGGGTTCTAACTCACAGAGCCCGTTAGGACAGAGTGGAACGGCCCTTTGGTTTCTAAAGCCATACTCTTTATAGAAACAATTGCATCCTCCTTCTCTGAGGGAGAGGATGGCAGGTTTGAACTGCGTACCTTTAAGTTCGCAATCAAGTCGTTTAATCCCAGTGCTGCAAGAGCTTCATACCCACTGGCTGCTGACGAGTCAGCTGTGACTGGCGAGCATCTCTGCCAGGTTTCTCAGGCTGTAAATCTTTGCAGGTGGAGAAGCCACCTTTCTCCTGCGAGCAGCCGGCTGATCTGAACCATGGCTCTCCGGATAGTAGCCCAACACTAGGAGCCCCCTGTTCCAGCAGCTCCGGGAGGCTAACACAGTGGCATATGAGGACATATGGGGATGAGGATGACAAGCCTGGAGCAGCAGGGGCCTTCCCAAGGAAGACGGGGCAGCTCAGACATACCTTGTGGCCCACGATGGTGAGGAAGTCCACCCCCAGGTCCTGCACGTCCACGCGCCGCTTCCCCAGGGCCTGTGCTGCGTCCGTGTGCACCAGCACTGCAGGCAGCCCTGAGGCCACCCGCCCAGAGTTCAGGGCTCTGATGCGCCGGCTGATTTCAGGAATACGCTGGAGCAGAGAAAGCAAAGGACAAGAAGGGGACTGTGGTCTGATGACAAAAGGAGGAAGGTGAGGGGAGCAGGCAGGGAGGAAGGTGAGGGGAGCAGGCGGGGAGGAAGGTGAGGGGAGCAGGTGGGGAGGAAGGTGAGGGGAGCAGGCGGGGAGGAAGGTGAGGGGAGCAGGCAGGGAAGGCAGGAAGAAAAGGCCACGACACCGAGGACAAGGAAAGGCCAGCCCCAGCTCCGGCCTGTCCCTCCCGCCACTGGACATCCCTAAGAAGGACAAGGACTGGCTCACCATGATGACGCCGGTCTCATTGTTGGCCAGCATGATGGTCACAAGGCACGTGGTGGGCCGGACGGACGCCAAGACATCGTCCACTTCTGCCTGCCCGCTCACCGTAGATACCGGGACAAAGGTGACCTCTGATGTACAAAACACAACAGCCTGGTCAGCGACGTGACTCAGTCCCTCTGGGAACTGGATTTAGGTAAAGCTTTAAAAAACAAGCAAATAACCCCCCCCCAAAAAAAAATCACCAACTTAACTGTAAAAAATTAGAAAACTAGAAAGATGGAAATACAGCCCCCATTACGGCACTACCCTAAACTCGTCTGACGTGTGAGCCCCTCTAGGACGTCTGGGGATTCCCCTCTTTGTGGACCTCTGTTGTCACCTGCTTCTAAAGGGGCCCATGGGGAAATAGTGCACCAAGGAGTGAAGTCTTGCTGATACAATTTGATCTGTCTTTTGGTCTGAGCCCTGGAGGCACAGTGGTTATAACACTTGACTGCTAACTTTAAGGGTGGTGGTTTGAACCCACCAGCTGCTCTTCAGGAGACTATGAGGCTGTCTCCCGTGGGGCAGCTCCGGTCTCTCCTACAGGGGTCACTGGGTTGGAATTGACTTGAAGGGAACGGGCTTGCTTTTGGTTTGGGTTAGCACAGAGCTTTACACATCAAGGGAATCCTAGCAGTAGTGTGTTACGTGTTGCCCTGCTAATCAAAAGGCTAGTGGTTCAAATCCCCCAGCTCCTCCACGGGAGACCTATTAGCATTCTCCTAAGGGTTTACAGTGTCGGGGGCTGTCGTGAGCTGGAATTAATGACGGCAGCGAGTCTGCACCTGGAGGGAGCAGCCAGGTAGGCTGGGGGAGAGGATCCACGGGCCCCCAAGCAGGACAGTCCCCCACCATGTCTGTGACTTGTGGGGTGCAGGGTCAGACCTGGGTCTGGTCAGCTCCAGCCCTTCCCTCGAGTGTTCCTGCTCCCAGGTGGGTGCAGGTCTGTCCCCCACTTACCGGCCACACCTTCCCGCTCCAGGTGTTGCAGGGGCAGGCGGATCGAGTCATGCTCCACGGTGCAGGTGATGAGGTGTGGCTTGGCCCCATCACCAGGGGGCTGGCGCTGCACCGCATTCTCCCTGGTGGCCTGGTTTTCCCGGAAGTGCTTCACCACCGAGTGGATGACCAGGTTGTTGGACTGCAGGGAAGGAGGGGACACTCACTGACTTGGGAGGACTGGAAGGGAAGTGTTGGGTCCAGGGGCCCGCACATCAGCTCTCAGAGAGGCCGAGGCCAAGCATCTGGGGGTTCTGACTTTGGTCCACGAGGCCTGTGAGGCTGCCCAGCAGGACACTCCGCTTTGCATTCTCTAAATCTAAGGGGATCTGACCCAGCACCCACAGCTGGTGAAGAGCGACACCAACTCTGCTGGAACCGCCGGACCTGTCTGCCCTGGTGGTGCAGTGTCTTCAGGTGGAAGGCTGAAGGGCTGAGCCTGACAGCTGACCCGCAGAAATCTGGGCAGAGTCTCACGAAGATTCACAGCCTCAGAATGCCAGGGGAGGCTCATTCTAGTGAAAGGGGCCATGGCAGGCAGAGCACCCAGTTAGCAGAAGCCCTCCCTGTGCAGTGGTTAAAGCACCCAGATGCCAAGGTAGAGGCTGATGGTTCGAACCCAGCGGCTGCTCCGTGGGAGAGGCTGCTCCTGTCAGGATCACAACCTCAGAGGCCGCCCTCCTCAGCCGCGGCTCCAAGTCACAGGCGGCACGCACTGGCTAGGGCACTGTTCCAACAAAGTCGTCCTCCCACCGCCCGGCAGCCCCGCGTTGTGTCAGCAAACACCGGAAAGACCTTAAGTGTTTCTCGGCAAGAGAGCGAGTTAAAAACACCAGCCACTTTCTTCAGTGACCCGTCAAGTAGATGGAAGAAAGCGAGGAAGCACTTGATGTGCGGTGACTGGGGCACCACAAATGACCCTGTGAAATATATGGCAACAAACACTGTAAACGATCTGATGAGGCCGAAGAAACACAGCCCCGCCTGGACAGGCAAAGGGGCTTTCTTTTTTGGGTGTGTGTGAATGTATTTCATTTTTTTTTTATGACTCAAATAGAAGATATATAAAATCTCAGCTTCTGGGAGAACCAAGAGTTTTTGCCTGTCTTGTACCTCTCCTCAAACTTGACCTTGACTTCCAGCCTTGCGTTAAGAGCAGGGTCTCTGAAGACCTCCTTACTGACAACAGTTTTGTGCAAGGAGACAGCCACAGAGTCCTTGTGGGCATGAGGTGACTGTGGTTATAAGCATTCACCAAAGATTTGATCTTGACCCCTCAGTATTTTCTTCTCGCCCATGGCAGCTGTCACTGACCGACAACCTATACAAAGTATCCTCCAAAGGGTAACGAGGAGAGGGAGGAAAGAATACACAGGTCGGCACAATTATTTGGTTTTGGGGTCCCTGGATGGCATAAATGGGTAAGGGCAAGTGGTTACTACTTGATTGTGAAACAAAAGGTAGAAAGATTGAATCTACCCTGAGGTCCTGCTGAAGAAAGGCCTGGCAATGGCCCAACCCTGCCCCTGAAAGCCGCCCCCCCCCCAAAGAGTTCAGTTCAACTGACACAAACAGCACATGGGCTACTGTGGGTCCACACGGACACCATGGGAGCAGATGTCCTCTGGGTGGACGGTGCTGGTACAAACCAGCCGGAGAGGGGCTGAGGCAGAGGAAGTGTTTCAAAAAAATTAGTGAGTATCACACACGTACAGGCAAGTGTGTAAAATACAGAAGGACAGCTTTAATGAAAAAGTGTAACAGTTAATGTAGGCAGCCCTCGACTTCCATTGCAGTTGTAATAAGCCGTGTGCGTGTGTGTACGCATCCCAGCCATGTTACAGTGCGCTCTGAGAGCCAAGGGGTAAGAAGCTGTGCTGCAATCCCGAAGGTACACAGTTCCGATTCACCACTGACTCAGTGAGAGCATGGGCCGTCTCCTCCGTGCAACTTACGGCGTCTGAAAACCCACTGGAGGGTCAGCTATGGGTCAGTTCCAACTTGACGGCACACGAAATTCTTACTGATATAGATATTTATGTAAGTGTATATTAAAATGGATCTGTAAGTCTGTATGTGACGTTTCCAATATCCCTTAAAGACTGGATTTCCACAGACACGGATGGTTATGAAAGGCAGTAGACAGGTGGCCTGCACTAACCAGAGGTCAGCAGACAGGTGGGCTTCCCACTAACCAGAGGTCTGTTGTCAACTTCAATGAAAGTGAAGAGATGAAATCATCCGATACGAGGCTCCTGGCGAGCCCCAGGCCACACCCCCCAGGAAACCCTGACCTGCTTCTCAGTCCATGAGACAGGGTCTTCTCAAAACCTTGGACCCAGCCCCCCTGCATGTCCACGTAGGTAGGACGTCTGGACGGCCACTGTAGGGCACAGCCACATCGCAGGCCCTGCGCTGCAGCACTGTCCTCAGGCATCTAGGCAGCGGCTGCAGCGCAGCTGTCCAGGGCCCGGCCTCCTCCTGCGGCTTTCAGTGTGATGGCTGCGCTCTCGCTGATGGCCAGCAGATGGCACCCCCGAGCCACCTAAGCCACTGTGTGCCCAGCACCTGGCTACAGACCAACCTCAGGGCCCCATGGCTTCTTCAGGAACCCAAGGGCCTGGGAGCTGGGTGCAGGGCACATGAACGCTTGGCCAGCTAAGGGGGCAGTGAAACCACGGGGCTTCTTCAGGAGCCCGAGGGCCTGGGAGCTGGGTGCAGGGCACATGAACGCTTGGCCAGCTAAGGAGCCTCTGTTCTGCCAGCTAACACGCTCCTGGCCCTGACTGCTGATAACACAGAGGGTCTCCCTCCAGGACTCACGTCTTCCTGCTCTGCTCGAAGGACACCTAGGTCATCCGGCCGGAACCGTGAACACCGCAGCCGTGAACACGCTCCCGCTCACACGATGGTACTCAACGTGCCCAGGTCCAAGACACATCATAAAGGGAAGCGCTGGCTTCCAGGGCATGTAGGGGCCTCGGGCACAGTGACTAACCAACTGGCTGCTAACTCAAGGGTTGGTGGTTCAAACCCACCAGCCACTCTGTGGATAATGATGTGCAATCTGCTTCTGCAAAGACTAACGCCCTGCTCCCCCTAAAAAAAAGTCCACTGCTGTTACGTCACTTCCGACTCACAGCAACTTCCACAGCATTCCTCAGTCTGTCATCTTGTCCCAAGGAGCCACTGGGGGTTCAAACCACTGAGCACCGGGGCCTTGGAAATCCCACAGGGCAGTCCTACCTTACAGGGTCACCAAGAGTCGGCATTGATCCAACAACTGATACGAGGGTGCCTATCTTCAAGCTCAACAGCCAGCCCTCGGGGGCTTCCCAGGCACTCGTCCAGTGCTTCCCCACCTGGGCTCTCTGTGGGTGCCCGAAGTCGTACACCCTTGTCAACCCTGAGCACTCCCAGCCGTCTTCACGGCGTGGGGAGAACTGCTTCCCCACAGCAAGCCAGGCCGGGAATCTTCTCACACACTGCCGCCTTGTGAGCTGGCCTGGAAAGCGCCTCACCAAGTTCCTCAGCCGGCTTTCCAGGGGGTCATCTGGCTCTCAAGGATCCCCTTCATACTGCAGATGTGAGGCCTTGGTCAGCGGAGATATAAATACCTTCTCCCACTCTCTAACTTGACTTTTTATTTTCTTCACAGTAATTTAATGAAGAGAAATTTGATACTTAGTTTTGTTGTCATAATTTCTCAAACTTTTTCTTTTTGGTTCTAAAAGCTTCATCTCCTAAAAGTTTTTTTAACTTTCACATTAGAGCTTTATTCCACCCGGAAGGAGTTCATTTCCCTTAAATGTAATAAAGCAGACGTACAATTTTCCTTTTTCTTTATGAATACTGTCATCCTGGGACCCTTCATTGAAAAACCATCCTTATCTCTGACTCTGTTCTTGGAATTCCTCAACCACACATGATGATCTTATAATTCATCTAACTCAGAAATATTTGAGAGTAAAAGACGGTTACACTGATAGTTACACTGTTACACGCACTGAATACCAATGATTGAAGACCACTGAGCTGTGGGATGACTTGAAACACAGCCATCTGCAAAGAAAGCAAAGGGTCACTATAAAGACAGGGGAGGGGGGGAAAAAGGAAAAACCTCTCAAAATTGCACTAGAATGCAGAGAGGACAAAACAAAGGGAAGAAATGATGACGCGAAGATTTCAAAGGGCAGCTCGAGACAAGAAAACAAAGCTTAGTATTATAAAGAAATGGGAAAAGAGCCGGAGTGAGAAAATCAAAAGGGAAAGATGCAATCGGCATTCCTCAAGGTGAAAGAACTGAAGAACAGTTCAAGCCTCAAGGTCCAATACTGAAGGGATTCTAAGGGCAAAGTTTTGGACGATGGAGGAAGAATCAGAGCCACTGTACCAAAAAAACCACAAAAACTGGTCTGCACAGAATCATATCAAGAACCAACAATAGTGAAAGTAGTGCAAGCGGTACAGAAGGTATTGGGGGAAAAAAATAAGGCATTTGGAATGGATGGAATACCAGCTGAGGTGTTCCAACAAACAGACACAGCCCTAGATGTGCATACTAGCTTATGCCAAGAAATTCGGAAGACAGCTACCTGGCCAACCCAGTGGGAGGGATCTGTATTTGTTCTCATTTCCAAAAAAAAAGGCGAGCCAACAGAATGTGAAAATTATCAAACAATATCACATGTAAATAAAATTTTGCCGAAGAATACATCAATAGGGAACTGCCAGAAACTCTAGCTGGATTTAGAAGGAGCTGTGGCGTAAGGGAGATCATTGCTGATGTCAGATGGCTTTTGGCTGAAAACAGAGACTACCTGAAAGATGCTTTTATTTTATTGACTATTAAAGACAATTGACTGTATGGATCATAACAAATTATGGGTCACATTAGAAGAATGGAAATCACAGAACAATCAATTGTGCTCTTGCAAAATCTAGACCTAGACCAAGGAGCTGTTGTCTGAATAAAACAAGGGAGCACTGTACGGTTTAAAGTCAAGAAAAGTGTGCATCAGGGTTGCATCCTTTCTCCGTACCTAGTCAATGTGTACGCTGAGCAAGTCATTCAAGAAGCTGGACTGAAGAAGAACGTGGATTAGGACTGAAAGGAGGCTTAACAAATTGCGATATGCAGATGACATGACATTGAGAAAGGTAGAAACTGAGGAAAGAAAGCCTCCCAACACAAGATGGACGGACACCGGGATTACAGCAACGGGCCAGAGCACAGGGAGTGAGTATGGTGTCAGTGTCAAGTTTAAACTTGTTCACAGGATCAGCATGAATGGTAGGCCTCAATGTCACCTAACATCATCACAGGACAATGGGTCCATCTTGGACTTGTAAGTGCCCTTATCAACATGGCTTGGGTTAGGGGCTATCTTTGTGGTATTTATCTATTTATCGGCATCTTTGAAGTATCTGAACTATTCCTGGTGAGGATTTTACGCATTTTTCATTTTACCAGATTTATTTCCTAAGTATCTGTCATGTTGTGATGCTCTGGTAAATGCCTGTTTGTCACTGGTACATAGACTCATGATTGTATTCATAATTTTGCTGTATCACTAAGAATCTAAATTCGTTTGGGTTTTCTAAATGTGGAGAGTCTGGAGACTAAGGTGCACCTGTCTGAGGTCATTGTCTTCATGATTTCTTGTTATGCATCAGAGAGCTGGACAATGACTGGAGATGATGGAAGGAGAGTTGATGCCTTTGAGCTGTGGGGCTTGAGAAGAGTATGGAATATACCCTGGACTGCTAGGAAAACAAACAGGCTCATCCTGGAGAAGATGAAACCAGCCTGCTCCTTTGAAGGCAAGGATTCTGAGGCTCCATCTGACATATTTTGGACATGTTCCAAGGAGGGACCAGTCCTTGGAGAGGGACATCTTGCTTGGGAGGGTGGAGGGACAGCGCAGGAGAGGAAGATCCTCGATGAGATGGACTGATTCAGTGACTGGGGTAATGAGGGTAGGTGAGTCAGTGACATTAAGGTTGGCACAGGATAGAGCAGTGTTCAGAGCTGTTATTCACAGGGTCACTATGAGTCACAAGCGAGTTGACGGCACATGGCAACAACAACAACAAAATGTGCACAGAAACTACCATCTTTAGGTGACAACTATGCCCTTCTTTGAGCAAGGAAATGACCATCATGTCACTGACCAAGCAGGAGTTTAGTGTCTGTCCACTGTCTTTAAGAATTTTTTACCTGCGGCAATGAATGAATGGAAATCCAAAACCTCTGTAAATGTCTATTAAAATTAATAATAATAATAAAAAAAATTTTTAAAAAAAGGGAAAAAAAAAGATTTCTTTACCAGGGTAAAAGGAAGGCGATATTTGCTTATAAAAAGGAGAAAAGTGGAAACCCTTCAGGTAACTTTTGCATTGCTGGCATTCTCATCTCCTGTGAGTTCTTGGAAGTGGCATTTGCAGGTCACTGTACCGACAAAAACAATTTCTTTAACATGCACTTCGCTGAACTAAGTCCAACAATCATGGTATCTCTACCAAAAGAGGAATATCGATTAACAGATCGGACAGCACCAAGTGTTCCTCCAACGGCAGACGTCAAACTGAAGCAGCCCAAGAACCGCAGTCAAGTTCCTTCTGAAACAAGTCAAACCTCGCCGACAAACATCCAGTGGCAAAATGGCACCCATTCCTTTGCTGGACGTTGTGCCTCCCGTTCCCAAGGTTATCGGGACACTGCGTGACCGGTGCCGGCAATTAAACCTGAGCACGGTGGTCAGAATGAGAGCTGTATCTGAGGGTCCACACTAACGCTTATCCTATCCTGATCAGAATTACATTCCAGTCACGCCAAAGGAGGCCAAGATGTGTTCACATTTGAAGAAAAGCAGTACCAAGAGACCGAGACTTCAGGAAAGTTCTGATGCTATGGAGACAGACGAAAGGACCTACATAGCCGAAGTGGTCACTTCAGCTGAGGCGGCCATAATGGCATCCTGGACAAGAATTTCCTCAAGAGCAGCTCAGCCTAAGTCTGTGGACTCACGTCACATTCCTACTGTAGCTGAGACCTTTTTGCCAAGTCAGTGGTAGACAGTGTGTGGTCCATGGCAGAGTTCTCCCCTCAGACACAGATGGCTGGGTTCATCTGCAGTTTCACTCAGGTCATGTCTGGGTGCCAGACAGTCCTCGAAAGATGATCTCTCTCTCAATATTACCGGCCTGTGTTTTTCCATCTCCAGAAACAGAAGATAATATGCTGTGTTGTCAATGTGTTCAGAGAAATAAGAAGATAATGAAAAGACGACTAGCCTTGGGGAAGGCTAAGTAGCCCGACGTGGACACATCAACATCACTCCTTTTGGAAGGGGAAGGGTAGTGTCTCAGTAAACAACAGACGAGGGAGAGTCTGAATTTTAAACGATATCACCCAGTGATTGTTTCTTCGTGCCACCTGATGCCTCGGCTGCGGATAAGAATGCCTAACGTGGACTTGAGATCTGCCCAAAGTAACTGTGCTTGCTTTCCTTAATGAGTCGAGATAAAAAAGCGGCTTCTCCACCAATTCCAATGTTCCTGTGTGTGCTGGGCTCCTAGATTGTTTAAGCAGTGTTTTGCGATGGAAAAATATACTAGTAAAAATTTACGTTATGAAGTATTTAGACTACAATTTACTTTTATAACTTTTAGAATATATGTTCACAGTATTAAAAAAGTACATAATATCCTTTTATACTTGTGAAAGGTTCTCATTACTAAACTGAAAAAAGAATTCTTTGTGCAAACACGTTTTGTGCCTGTATTTGTACAATAAAGTTCTTCTAAGAATTAAAAAAAATAGTTTTTTTACCAAGTTAGTATCTGAGTGTGTCAAACTTGAAAAAGAAAAGCAATGTGGCAGAGATGCAAAGGAAGGATCCAGGGCAAACATGGAGCGAAAAACTCTCTTTATTGAAGCAAGAATTCAAAGCTAGATAATTCAAGCACCGAATTACAAATATCCTATCAGCCATCAAAATGGCAGCTGAACATATCAAGATCATTTTCAAAATAACAAGACGAAGCATTAATTCTTCTTTTACAAAACACCAAAAGGGAAGCACATCTTATTTTGATTACAACATACAGTTAAGCCACCTTGAGACTTTACTTAGGAGTATTACCTCGGTGCCCCCGGAAGTGAAGATTATCTCCTGAGGTTTTCCACCTATCATCTTCGCGAGGTTCTCCCGGGCGGCATTTATAATATCCTTGGCCCTTCTACCTGGAGGGACAAAAGGGAAACTGATTAGCATTGTTACCCCCAGGTCAATAAGCAAGTTTAAAAGAACATTAAGGCGGAGGAGGGAAAGAGCTCAACAGACAGTTCTAATATGAAACACATGCACTAACATGAACACAATACACTCCAACCTAGAAACAATGTGGCAGACGGGCAGCAGTAAGATACTATCAGTGGGAACTTCTGAGACTATGACAGATGGGGAAAATGTGCATAAGGGCAGCTGCAAAACCACAAAAATAGAACTCCGGACACCTCAGCACAAAATCCAGCATATCATCTCATGTTACAGGTCATCCCAGGTTACTGTCGAGGGAGAGACGTGCTTCCAGACAGGCCCTGGGGCTGGACACTGCAGCATCCCAGGCCCCATCTAGCTTTGCTGGCTGGAGGGAAGCACAGGGACTTCATGCGGCAGATCAGGAATTCCAAAAATGCTGGTGACCATTCCTACTCAAACACTCTTTTCACCAGAAATCTCCAGATCGTTTTGACCTAAAGCCTTAACTATAAACAGAAAAACAGCAGGTTGCTCCTATTCCAAATATATATTCGAGACTGCTCTGGATTGGAGGAAGACTCATCAACAATCTACATTATGCAAATGACACAACCTTACTCGGTGAAGCGCTTGCTGCAATATGTCAAGAACTGAAGCTCAGCTTCAAGAAGACAAAGATTCTCACCACTGAACCAACTGGCAGCACCATGATAGATGGAGAAGAGGCTGAGATTGTTAACAACTGCAGCTTGCTTGGCTCCACAATCAACTCTTTTGGCACTAGCAGTCAGAAAATCAAAAGACGAATGGCACTAAGAAAATCTGCTGTCAGGGGCATCTCCAGAGTACTAAAAAGCAACGATGTCAGTCTGGAAACTAAGGTGCACCTGACCCAGGCCATAAGCTTCCCAATTACTTATATGCATCAGAGACCTGGATGATGACTAGGGATGACAGAAGAATAGATACCTTTGAGTTGTGCTGCTGGAGAAAAGTTTTCAATATACCCTGGACTGCCAAGGAAACAAATTGGTCTTCTTGGAGAGGGTGAAACCAAGTTTAACTTTGGAGGCTAGGACTGTGAAGCTCTGTCTCACACAGTTTGTACATATGGCCAGGAGGGACCCATCCTTAGAGAAAGACATCATGCTCAGAAGGGTGGAGGGATAGTGGAGGAGAAGACCTCGGATGAGAAAGCTACAGTAACTAGGACAATGGCAACAGGTCTGTCAGAGTCAGTAGTGAGACTGGCTCAGGACAGGGCAGGTTTAGAGCTGCTGTACCTGGGTCGCTATGAGTCACAGGTGACTTGATGGCACCCAACAATAACTGTATAGATTTTAGTTGTCAGGAAGGGTGAAGATGGCACAGGATAGGACAGGGATCAGATCTGTTGTTCATAGGGTTGCTATGAGTCGTACTCGACTTGATGGCACCTAACAATAATAACAATGAAGGTGTTTAGGTAAATCTTATCATTTTAATCTGGCTTCTCCTGAGACATAAGCCTTCACACAAGCATATCACAGGTCTTTCTTTTCCTTTCCCACAACCCTCCTTACTGAAACCGAGGAGGACCTGAAGCGCTTGCTTCAGAGGGTCAAGGACTGCAGTCTTCAGTATGGATTGAGGCCCAATATCAAGAAGACAAAGATTCTCGCCACTGGACCAATTGGTAGCACCAGGATGGATGGTGAAGAGTTCCATTCTTCTCAATGTTATCCACAATTATGATGGTCAACATAGCCCAATGCCTTTACACAGTCAGTAAAACACAAGTCAGCATCTTTCTGGTATGCTCTGCTTTTAGCCAAGGTCCATTTGACATCAGCAATGACATCCCTTGTTGAACAGCCATTTCTGAAACTAGCTTGAATTTTTGGTAGTTCTGTTGATGAACTATTCCAGGCATTTTTAAATATTCCTCAGCAAGATTCTGACTTGCATGTGACATCAATTTCTATACTCTAATGAATCTTTTTTTTTTTAAATGGGCACAAACATGGATCTCTTCCAGTTGGCTGGCCAGTAGCTGTCTTCCAAAAACCATGGCATTAACAAATAAATACATTCAGGGCTGATGTATTTGTTGAAATATCTCAACTAGAACTCCATTAACTCCTGAAGCCTTATACTTATTTTAATCATTTTGCCAACGCCTTCGGTACAGTCTGGAATTCCTCCTCCTCTACCGCAGGTTCCCTTTTTCTTTTTTTTTTTTTTTTTTTTTACCACAGGTCCCTGAACATATGCTGCTTCCTGTAATAGTTGTGTCAACCAATTCTTTTTGGTGAGGTGACTCTGGGCGTCCTTCTTTTTTGATGTCACTCAAAATTTTCTACCCAGAATTCTTCAGTATTGCAGCCTGAGTTCTTTGGGGTGAGAAATGCAGGCTTTGTCTTCCCTTCCGGCTTTCTACTTCCAGGTTTCCGTGAATCTCCTTATAGTACTTCGCGTTTTCTTCCTGTGCAGCCGCCCTTTGAGCCTGTTTGTTCAGTTCTCTTACTGATAATTCCTTCCTTTCATTTTAGTAGTTCTACATGCTCGAACAAGTTTCAGAGCCTCTTCTAACACCAACTTTGGTCTTTTCTGTCTCTTTAATGACCTTTTGCTTTCTTCATGGATGATGTCTTTGATGTCAACTCACAACCTGTCTGGCCTTCAGTCATTCATGTTCAATGCATGGTATTTCTTTTTGAGAAGGCTTCTAAGTTCAGGGGGGATAAACTCCAGGTTGTATTTTAGCCCCTGTAGATTTATTTCCTTTTTCTTCAGCTTCAATCTGACCTTTGTCTTAGTTATCTAATGCTACTCTAACAGAGATATCACAGGTAGATGAGTTTCAACAGACAGAATTTTTATACAATTTAGGTAAAAAATCCAAATTCAGGGTGCTAGCTCTAAGTCAGGCTCGTGTGTGTGTGAGAGAGACTGAGAGACAGACAGACAGACAGACAGACAGACTTCATCAGGCCTCCCCAGAGTCAAGGAGGTGCTCAAGCAGGGGCCTCTGGCCTCTACTGTGGGCCTGGGTCCACAACGAAGCCCCTCTCCAATCCTGACAATTCCTTCTTGAGGGCACTGAGGTCCCAACCACCCTCCTTTCTGCTTTCTTCCCCTTTTACCTCGAGGTGATTAAAGATAGTACAGGCCACATACCTGGGAAACCCCCCTTGCATAAGATTAGGGGTGTGATGGGATAAAGCGATGCTCATTCCACCCGTAATCCGTTTATAACTATTTGGTTTATCAGATCCTGGGGTTCATTATACTGCTTCTTATATTTGCTTCAGTATTTTGGGATGAAGTATGATATTAACAACTTACGTTTAAATGAACAGAACAAAATGGGGCAAAGTGTTAATAGTTGGTGAATCCAAGTACAGGTGGTACAAGTATTCAGTATAATATTCTTTTACGTTTTCTTATATGTTTTAAAAATAAAAAGGTGGCAGGGAGATTCAGGACAATTTTAAAGCCACAGTACATGTGTTTATTAGTCATACTTCATATTAAAAACACACACATGAGGCCCTCTACCTTCTCTCTCCCCCTCAATGATTTGGGCCCAGTTCACAGCAGTGCAACTTATGCATGGTGGATGGATGATTAAATGACTTTTTTTTTGTGTCCCCCATCCCCCCTGATTAAATGATTTTAAACAGTCAGTCCCTCCAGTTCTGTTTAAGTGCCATTAAGTAGGACTCAGTATTTTGGGAGTGAGGGTTCACATTCATGACGTTACAAGGACCCTTCATCCTGAGGCCAACACTGGCCTTGGAAGCACTAGAAGATGGTACTGGCAGAGCTGCTGGGGAAAGAGCAGACTGCTGGAAGAGCTGTTCCTGTGGGGAAAGGGTCAGGTCTGTCTAGGCACTGACCGGGGACACAGTGTGAACCACTGCATCGCTCTGAGAGAAGTTCCTAAAAGCCTGTCCTGCTCCTGCGTGGGGTAACTGCGATTACAAACATGTGATCCACATGAAAACAAAGGACATCACACTCACTGCCCATCGTCCCAGCCCCCTTCCACAATCAGCCTCTACAAACGACGACCAGAGAGTCAGGGCACTTTACATCAACACCCGTGGCAATCGTCTCCTCTGCCCTGAGGCTAGAACTGGATGGTGCCCGGCTAGTGCAGCTGAGGGCTCAGGGCAAAGCCTAGGAGAGTCACGCTCAGTGGAGGCAAAGACAGAAGAGACTGTCATGTTCTCACAGAATCCAGACTTTACAGAGCCAGGCAGACTAGATGAACCCTCAAAACTCTTGCCCCAAGATACTCTTTAAACCCTGAACCAGAAACCACCCCCGAAGTCTTTAAACCAACAATGAACTTGATTCGTAAAGAAACTCTGCTCTCTCACGATCCATACAGGATCAAGTTGACAACAGCAACTCAAAAGACAAGACAGGAAACTTAGGGGGCAGTGAGATTATGTTGCTTGGAGTAGGGGAGCAACTCAGAAGAGAATGGTGGCACCCGAAGAATCGATGTTACTGACTCGTCAGGTCAGGCCACCGCTGTCCAGGTGGAACGGATTCACACTGACCCACCACTGGTTTCCAAGGCTGTAACTGCATGGGAGGAGACTGCTCACTTTCTGCCACGTTGCTGCTGGCGGATTTGAACCATCGGAGAGATGCAGCCTCCGGGTTAGCAGCGTAACTTCCTCCTGACCCCGCACCCAGAGCTCCCTCAATGAGCTGTACAGCGGAGAAACTGCTGAACTGCCTTATATTGTACTGTCTGTGTTTTCAGTAACAAAAATAAATGCAGTTAATGATTTTTAAAAACACACACTTGTTCCCCTTCAGTGTTAAGAATAGAGAGGATAAAAAGCAACATCCAATTAAATCCAACTTTTGAACTCAACAAAGCTACAATGTCCTTAGCATTTTAAGGAGCTGGCAGCCTGAGTCTTGGTTTTAGTAAACTTTTCTTGTCAATAAACTACACACAATGATTATCGAATGATTAAATCTAAAAAATAAACTACTTTAAACCTCCTATAAACAGTTCTCGAGTTTATGCGGCATGTGTCTGTCTGGTCGAGGGCGGCCAGCTGTCCTCACAGCCCATCCTCCCTTCCTGCCACGCTGATGAGGTCTCATTTTCAGCTGGGACACAGCCGCCTAGAATCTTCCACTGTAGCCACTGGACTGTGCACCACAGGCCGGAACGGTACTTTCAACGTGCGTGAGTGTCTCCAAAAGACCCAGGGGACCGTTTGCTCTTTGCCTTCTTCCCACAGGCTGGAATGCTGACATGACGGCTTGAGCCGGAGCAGCCACCCTGATCCCAGGGGAAGCCGAGGGATGAGAAGACCACTCACACAGGAGCCTGAAAGAAGGGGGGAGCTGTCGCATGGGGTGGCCTGCTTTAAAACAAACAAGCAAATATTCACTGCCATCGAGTCAATTCCAACTCATCATGACCTGACAAACTGCCCCAGGTTATAGATTTTCCAAGCTTTCCAGGACCTGATCTTTTTTCTTTGGGAGGCAGGCGAAGGGGAAAAATCCATCAAATCATAGTGCATGCCCTGGTTTTTTGCTTGTTTGTTTTAAATTTTATTATTTTGTGTGTGTACACCATCAAATCAGATCTGCTGGTACCGAAGCAAATCCTGTTTTATAATGACACTGCTTTACTTCTGCAAGGCCCGGGGCCGCCCACAGGACTTCTCCATCACCTGCCCTCCTGGGCCCGCCCACAGGACTCCACCATAACCAGCCCTCCAGGTCTCTACCCATGAACAGCCACTCCTCTGCACTTTTCATTTTGGCTTCTCTATTTTTCTATTATGAACAAGACTCTTATAGCTGTTTTGCTTACCTAAAATCTCCTTAAGCATCTTTAACATCTTCCTTAAAGTAAATCTCTGTCCCCCAACCTCTTTTAATCCCAACATTGTGAAAGGAATACCACACCAAAGGCACCTAGTTCTAACCTACTAACCATTCTGTGGGAGAAAGATACAGTCTTCTTCCACATGATTTCCTGCCTCTGAAAACCCACTGGAGGGTCAGCTATGGGTCAGTTCCAATTCAACGGTACATAACCACCCATGAATAAAGCTGATTTGCAATGCATTTTTAACATTATGGTTCCTAATTAAGAAGATAAAAGTTTTTTAAAAAAAGCAATCTGCAGGCTTCAAGTAAAAACAAACAAACAAAAACCCAAAAATGACTTCCCTAAGAGTTATTCACAAGCTCCTTCATGATCTTTTATCTGCATTAAATTGGTCTCTAAATCCTCGTGTTAATACATCAGAAAGTTCCATTTTACTGTGAAGAGAATAGACTTTAGATCAGTCAGAATATATATACCAAATAAATTAATGAGCAACGAGAAAAGCCTTTTTGTTATCAAGATGCTGTGAAACTTTTTATGAACATGCAGTAGAACTTTTAATGAGCAAGCAATGAACCTTGGAAAAATCCAGGTGCCAGAACGTCTGAACTGGGTTAACTTCAGACTGACAGCAAAACTGCACTGTAAACTTAAGATACTCATTCCACCTTTCTAAAGAAGCCCGCAGCCTCTTCCTTGTCAAGGTGTTCCTGTTACAATAACTAAGATAAGAATAAAAAGTCAGAATCTCTCACCTAGAATTAAGATGTACCCAGTGTTCAGTGAGCATGCTATCTTAACTGCACCTTGAATTACCAGGTGAAATGAAGTAAATATCCCTTCCTCTAAGCCAGAGAAAACTTCAACAGAACAGATCAACACAGGAACAGCAGTAACGGGCTTGAGCAGGCTGGCAAAGGTGAGGGTGGCACAGAACCAGGTTGAGACCTGCTGCTCGCAGGGTAACGGTGAGTTGTATTTTACTCTATGACAACTAACAACTTAGCAAAGTAAAATGCATCTTCTATTTCAAAGGTTTAAGGTTAAAGTTGATTCACCTCTGCCACCTTCTTCACCAAATGAATGTTCCCTATTTCAATGTTTCCAGCTAGACTCGACCTGATCTACACTCAGCCACAAACCCTCACATCAACTGTTGACACAGTGAGCCTGGGAAACGCTGCCTTAACCAAACTGCACCAGGAGCTAAGGAATCCACGTTAGGCTACAAGTTGTCAATCAAGTCTAAGACTTGACAACTCCTTTCAAGTAAGCTCCCCTCTCCTGAATTCCTCTCTCCGATGTGAAACTTTTCCATTTCTTTGCTTTACCAAACAAAGCTGACCATGTCTCCTACATGGAAAGGCACGTGTCTATTTTCTCCTAAGATGCCACTAGAGTTCATTTTCTGAAATACAATTATTTCTTCAATAAAAGGTCTTCTTTCAGTCTGGTGTTTCTATTAAGACCAGTAAACTTACATGAAAACGCTTTATATAAAAAGTATAAATCTATATATAAATATTATTATTTTATAACACAAGTATTATATATTTTATATACATACATATATTCTTATGTATTCATTGTTGCACATTTCCTTCCTGCTCCCAGACAAATTTGCACAGATGTTATTAAATGCTAGGATTTGGCAGTAATCTCTTGGAATATTACTGAAGTTAACCAGAATGCACAATTAACTTATCTTAATTATCCATTATAAATATTAAGGAAGAAAGGCAAGATTTTTCAGTTCCAAGTCTCATCTGCTGGAAAAACACAATTTATCTCTGTTGTTAATCTCCTGAATTAAAATATATTTTAAAACTTCCAATTTAATGCTCTATTAAATATTTTCAGTTATTATTATAGTTTCTATTTTAAACATGAATATATTACAGAGATATTATAACTAAAGAAAAAATGTAAAACATGTAAGTCTGATGATGATAAATGAAAATGTATTTTGCCAATGTTCTGAGAACTGATCGAGTTAGAGTCATGAAGAATTTCCGCAGGTATTGTTATACTAAAGTAACTCCAGAAAACATCTCTCTCATCTTGTAAATGGACACAGGAGAACCTGTGATTGTACAGGTTAAAGACCATGGAAGGAGCACGGCTCCTCTTACAAAACAGGGTTTCTGGAGGGGGAACTCCTCCCAAACTGAAGGCTCTAACATGAATGTCTATTCAGAAGACCACACAATGGTGTACGGGCCTCCCACACCCTCCGTGCCTGGCACCGGATCACCAATTACCTGCTGAGTAAGAACTGCTGGGATTGCCCCAGGCCTCCCACATGGCCTCTGTCATGGCCTGGATAACATCTGGGTCCAGGGGAGTGGTTGCATTGTAGTCCATATAAACTTTCCTGTGGGTAAGAAAACAAACTTGTAAAAGGATGGATAATCTCCTGTGTGAGAACTGCATTTGAAAACCAGCCCGAGGGTCAGCCTGTTCTGACTCTAAGGTACACAACAACAAAAAGCAGACAGAATCTGAGAAGCACAGAGGTCTATCTCACGTCAAGAGGGGCCAACGGCCAGGGCGGACACTGCCCTGCAGAAATACTAGACAAGCTTCTACCAGCCATCTGGTAACCTCCACTGGGAAAGTTCTAGACTTTCTAGTAAAGGAGCCTTTGCCAGCTTCCTCTTTAACATGGACGGCTGTCCTTTTGCTGTTGTTATTCTAGGTTAGTTGGCAGCTCTAGTAAATGGGTTTTGGGTTTTTTCTTAATAACCTCCCTCCCAGAACTGCCTCAGGGTGTTCAAGGCTGTGATCTGTATGGAAGCACATCTCCTGGTCTTTGCAGGAGCCCTTTGATAGGAGTTTAGCTGTCAACCCAATGGCTTGGGGTTCAAATCCACCATGCTCTGTGGGAGAAAGATGAGCAATCCTCTCCTGTTTACCGGGTACATTTATTGAGTAGGGTGCAGCAGGAAGGTGGAAACAACGGGACTGAAGATCTGCTGGGTCCGAACCACACATCTGAAGACAGTAATCTCACTAGCCAGGGGCCAGTCCACAGGGATCTTTTTTCACTTGCTTTCAACCTAACCCATGTTTTCCTCCTCCGTCTTTCTGCAAAGGGAGCTCTCGTGGCCTAGAGGGAAGAAGCTGCCCTGACAACCCAAAGGTAGGAAACAGGTCCTTTCTGCCTTTTTTCTCATCCCTCACTGTGTTCCCAGACCCAACCGTCTAGAGAGAAGGCAGGCTTCGTGCAGGCTGTTCCCTCAGATGACCCTCACTCCCAATCCTCATGTTACTTCTTTTGGTCTTTGCTCCAATTGGCCCTACTGGACCCTCCCCAGGTCCCTAAAACTGCAGTCACTTTCCCATTCTGTCAGACCACTCAGCATACGCAATTCTTTCTTCTTCTGCCTGCCTCAGTAGACTGTAACTCAACACCGGTTTCCTGAACACACTGGGTTTTATACACTGATGCATCTCCAACACCTGTTCACAGTTACATGGCAGAGACTTCAGTTATCAGATGTTAAAGCAAACTTCTTGGATTATACAGATGTCCAGAAAGAGGATTTGGTAAAACTGATGTGTAAATCTTTTTCTCTAGTATCAAACCATCAAAACTGTAACTCTGTGTCTATAGGTGATCTTGCCTGATGGTATTAACTATATTGCTTGTTTTAAAATCAATAATGGTGTTTAAAGCAATCACATAAAAATGCTAATGAAAATATTAGTCATGATGCACACCCATGTTTATTGCGGCTCTGTTCACAGTAACAAAGAGCTGGAAACAACCCAAGTGCCCATCAACAAACGAATGGATAGAGAAGCTGTGGTACATTCACACAACGGAATTCTATGCAGCACTGAAAAACAAGGAACTCATGAAATAGTATACAAAATGGGTGACCTGGAGGGCATTATCCTGAGTGAAATATCTCAGTCACAAAAGGACAAATAGTGCCACTGCTGTAAAACTGACTGACATCAGGGTTGGGGGGAGACTGAGAAAGATGGGATAAATTATGTATACTGCATTGAAACAGATGAGGGAGAAAACTGTTTAAAAGGGATATGTGATTAGGTATTATTGTCATGACAGGAGTCCAGAACGAAGGCTGCACAGTGGAGTGGACTTGGAGGGAGGGATTGTATAACAATGAAAAAAATTTTCTTTTACTTTTCAGAGAGCAGAACAAACTGGGGGAGAAGGTTGGGCGGGGAGAAAAGTGCAACAAGGAATGAATGGCAATGCAAAATCTCTGTAAACTTTCATTTGAATTAATTTAAAAAAATATTAGCCATGGCTGTTAAGGTTTTGGTTTTGAATAACGTAACTCCTTTCCTATCAACTGTTTAAAATGAAATGGAAGCTAAGTGCAGCCTCAGAGAAGTCTGGCCAGTCATTCCTCTTAACACTGCTGTTTTCTCCTGGTCTGGCTGTGACTGGCTGCATGTGCGCTGACATCAATCCCACCACACAGAAATATGTTCCAGGAACTTATCAAGCAAGCTGGTGTTTGCTGGGCAGTGGTAGACCTTCAGACACTGTTTTGTGAGCGAATGTATGGCTTGAATTATAGACGAATATTTTACTTATCACTTTGTTCCATTTATGGAGCCTTTCCTTAAGGTGCTATCAATAGTGGATGGGATAATGAAACTCCTTGGCTTTCTACCAGGGAAGAAATGAAAAGAATAAAGATTTGGGGATCCCTTCTCCACCCAGTCCACTTGGTCTCTTTTTCTGTCTCAAAGCAGAAGGCCTGGGGAGAGAAGGTCTGATCTGGGGAGAGAGGGTCTGATCTGGGGAGAGATGGTCTGATCTGGGGAGAGAAGGTCTGATCTGGGGAGAGAAGGTCTGATGTGGGGCTGGGCTCGAGCTGCATGCACTCCCACCCTCCCGGTCGGCTGGGTCAGTGCAGAGGCGCTGCAGGGCTGAACCGCGGTGTCCTGACACTCAGACTGCACACTGTGTCCTCATCCTGAGGAAGTGGCTCCTGGCAGGTGGGGAAGCGCTGGAGCAGGTCCTCCCGTCTCCCCACCTGTGAAAGGCCCCTTTCTCGGGCGCTCAGGCCAATGTGGGGGCGCCATCTGTGAGGTCCTCGCTCCTCCTCGCCTCCTTCCTTCCCGAATTATCACTAAAGAACATTAGAAACGTTCCCTTCCTTCCCCGCCTCGCTCCTCTCTCCACAGTCGGCAGAAGTTCACTCTAAATGTAACTCATCACGACCTGCTCCAACCTCAGGAGCCCCCGGAACAAGCCCCCGAAAGCTTCCACGGGCGCCGTGACACCGGCCGGGATGCGGTCAGCCCGCGGACAGCTGCCCAGCCGGCCCTGCCCTCGCGGCCGCCCCGCACCGCCAGGCTCGTCTTCTCGGCCAGCACGGATCCTCCTGCAAGGCTGCGTCCCTCTGCGCTGGACGTGGCGTCGGCCAAGGTCCAGCCCCAAGGTCCCCTCCGGGGTCCTCCCAGACCTCGTCCCGCTCCCGGGCCGCCCCCGCGGTCACCCGGCCGCCGACCACGCCGCCCCGCGGGCTCCCAGCGGCGGCCACCCCCACGGCACACCTCTCCGGCGAGCTCTCCTCCCTGTCCACGCGCGCATTCGCCCGCGGCTCCCAGCCCGCGGCCATCGAAGCCCACCACCGCTGTCCACGCCGCTGGACCAGCGCGCCCAGCCCCTCCGGAAGCCCCGAGCGCCGCATGGAGGGGGCGGGACCGCCAGGCCAACGTGCGCTCGGATTGGCTGAGCTGCCCACACCCCGCCAATCCTGGAGCGTCAGAGAGCTAGCCGTGGAGTTCGCGGAGCCGGGTGATTGGCTGTGCGGGGTCATGTGGGCCGGTGCGTGGGGAGCACTTCCGGTGCGTCAGGGGGGCGGAGCCCGGGCGGGGCGGGAGCCGTTCAGCCCTCGTCTTGCTGGAAGCACCGGGCGGGGGGTCCTACTCCGGCCGCTGACCGTCGGGGGCCGGTCAGGGGGTGTTGTGTGCGGCCCGACCCCGGCCGCTGACCACGGGGGCCGGTCAGGGGGCGCTGCGTGCGGCCCGGGAGAGGACTCGGCCGCTGACCACCGGGACTGCGCACAGGAAGCCCCGGCGCGGTGAGGCCCCGAGCGGCCACTGTGCCCGCCGCCCGCCATGGCCGCCCTCCCCCGCGGGCCCTCGCTGACCGCATCCCTGGTGTCCGCCGCCCGGGCCTCCGCGCTGGCCCCCAGTGTCCACGCTCTCCATAGAAAGGCCTGCCCGCCCATCCCCGCCTCCGCGTGCGCAGGGGCATCGAGCTGCCTGGACGTGACGTGGACCTGGGGGTTAGTGGACCCCAGGGAAGTGGACTCCACGGTTAGAGGACCCCCGGGGTTAGTGGACCCCAGAAAAGTGGACCCGGAGTTAGTAGACCAGGGATTAGTGGGCCCTAGGGTTAGTGGACCCCGCGGTTAGTGGACCTCCCGGGGTTAGTGGACCCCGCGGTTAGTGGACCTTCTGGGGTTAGTGGACCCCAGGGAAGTGGACTCCACGGTTAGTGGACCCGGGGTTAGTGGACTCCCAGGGAAGTGGACCTCCCGGGGTTAGTGGACCCCAGGGTGGCCTCTGCCTCCACCCGTGACCTACGTGGACACTGCTGCTTCCTTTACAGGCTGTGCTGTGATTGGAGTGGAGCCGTAACTTAATTTTCTCTTGTAAGGATTTCAGATCTTTCAGCTTGAGACAGGTTTATGCTCTTCTGGGATTAAGAACATGCATATACTTGAAGAAACAGACACTCATGACCACCATTCACATAGAAGGACACAGTGTGCCTTCAACTGCAGGAAGCATGAGCAGTTCTTTCTTTGGGAGTTTTTTCCGGAGCAGTTTTTATCAGGCCAAAGGCTGGCACTCATAGTGGAAGAAGGATTGCAAAATTTACAGTTAAACATCAACTGCCTTATTTTTTTCTGAGGTCATTACATGCCAAGAGTTACTTAACAATGCTTTTTCCTGTGGGTTAGTTTTAAATCAGCAATCTATTTCTCTTTTATCTCAAAGGAACACATTTAATCTCTATTTTTGTGGCAGATTTACAGAGTCAGCAAAATTGACAAACATGTCAGCATTTGAAAATTAGGTCTATTTGGGGGGCATTGGCAGACTGACAGTTGTTTGACGCTTGTTCCCTTCACCTTGATAACAGCATTATTAGTCACACTCTAAACATTTTCAATTCCAATCTTATTCCTAACTTCTTGGAGGATGTAACTGACAAAGGTGTTCTTTTAGACCAATCTGAATGAACATTTATTTTTTATATTTATTCATTGCACAATTTCTTCCCTCCCCCAGTCTACTCTTCAGTGCCTCTTATATTCCTGATTGTTGCTAAATAAAGTCTTAACAGCTGTCTGCCACAGACATTC